TTGCATGGCGGACAGTTGCATCGCGAGAACCGGGCGGCTGCAAATGGGCAGGGCGGCGGCGGTATGAACGGCGGCGGTAAGGGAGGCTTTGGAGGTGGCTATGCGGGCAGAGGTGGAGATAGGGGCGGTCGTGGCGCGGCTAGAGGTGGTAGGGCTGGTGGTGCAGGACGTGGTGGTAGAGATGATGGAGCGTTGGAGGGTCTGTGTGCGGGTAGGAAGCCGGATTATGATTGCCCGCCCATGGCGAAGGGTATGGCGGAGGAGATGGATAAGAGTATGTTCTGGGACGGACCGATAGTCTAGGGGAGATGGGTATGTGCTGATTGAGTGGAATGGTGGTATGTGGGATTTTATGTGTGCCTTAGCGTTGCTGATGAGGTGGGCTCCTAAGCTTCTGACCGTTACGATATCGTAGGTACGTCTACTAAATGAAGTCGGGGAATGCGGTGGTCTAATCAAGACATGCTACGGCTCTCCTAGAGTCACTCCATCAGAAAACAAAGCATAAACTGCATCTACTTGTGTCGATGATACCCGCCATCATCAGTACCAGCTTCCTATCTCTTGATCTTACATCATTCGTCTCTGCTTCTTGTCCCTATGAGTAGTCAGCATCTCTCCGGATCCTGTTCTTTCTTCAGCAACCCAAATCACCTTTTCGTTCTTCCGTGTTGCTTCCACATTGCTTCCATAAATACCTCAGCAGATGGGCGTACATTTACATGTCGCTATCGTCGGTGTACTGCCAACAATACACCGCCCAGGGCACTGAGCTACGCAAGTTGCAAGAGCAACGCTTTGACTGCAGATAGCTCTATTCCCAGAGTCGCATGGTAGGGCGACAGCATTGGCTCCCACAAAGAGGGCGACAGCCGGTAGGAGGATAGTTGGAAGATACATGTCGATGAAATGAAACAGAGGTTTGATGAGAGTAAGAGTGTTTGGGTACGTTTATCGGGTGTAGTGTACGGTGATGAAAGAGATTCACCAGTATTATAGAGAGCTGAAGCTAGGCTCTTCAAGGGACGAATGTTCTGCATTAACGCTCAACTGGAACAAGGAACTTTCTCAGCTGACGACCGCTGATACCATAGCACATACAGCATATACCCAGATCGTCTGACAGCTTACCTGCATATGAGACAATAGATGCGATAACTTGCTAATACGACTTGATCTGACATCATATTGTCTGAGTGTGGTCCCAATAACGCGCAACCAGTCTTTAGCTTTCTCCACCTTCTCCAGTCATCCAATCTCGCTAAACTCTATTCTTCGTTAGCAACACTTCTGTTTAGTTTCTTTGCTCAACAACTACCCTTTTGCGTTCCTCTCAATCTTTCTCCATTATCAATATCCTAGCATTTGCATGTCATGACCGTATTCGCCATCTCCCCCTTCTGCACGCATGTCCCTGGACAGCTAGCTCGGCATGCAGATGTTGAGACTAAGGAACCGCACTTTACGTCTGCGGGGGTAGGAGAGGCGGCTACGAAACCGAAGGACAGAGTAAAGAGGGCGAAGAGGATGGGTTGGAGATGCATAATGGTTTTGGTGGTTGATTTTGATGGTCAAGAGTGGTAGTTCGTCTTCCTGTGCAACTGGCTTGGGAGTTGAATAGTGGAAGGAGAGTTCTTTATGAAGGTGCAATGTAAGGGATTGCTAGAATCGGAGCTTCGTTGCACGTCTCACGTCATTATTTTTGACTATCTGACCACACTGTCGTCTCTCGTTGTTTTGCCCGCTGCCGCTCACATATCACGCCATCAACATACTTCTATGAGCTGTAGCTCCCGAAAGTTGACTACTGTTCCTGTTATACCCTGCTCTTAATATCCGCTGAGGTCATCTCGCCTTCTCATTCGCATCGCCGGCCTATCACCTTATGTTTACAACATCAGCGACCGATGCGTCCAAAAGATCGGGGTACTTACTATTCCCCCCCATTCGTATCATTTCATGTCCTGCTGGAAAGTCTCTTATCGACAGACACAGATCGACAACCCCGAGTTCAGAGTCGTACCGGAAGCAACGCAGCGACCGTGCACACAGTTTGCATGGCAGTAACCGGTGAGGGCAACTTCGCCGCATGCACCACCTGCATGTATTCCGCCGCTCTGAGGTAGAGCGATAGCGGTGGCGATGGTTGGGAGCATGATGATGAAGAGGTGTTGTAGATGCATTGTTGGTAGTGTAGATGTAAGAATGGAAAGGTTGTACTGTAAGGCAACGGAAGCTGAGGGGATTGATGCAGTATCTATCTTTCAGTGTGCTCGCGTTTAATGAGGTGAGCTATGAGATTGATGAGGGAGGATATTAAGATGTAGGGAGGTGGAAGGGTGAGTGATGCGAGGAATGTGTTTCCATGACACATGTATGCATTGGGTTGTCATCTTTACATACATGCAGCGACGAATTCCTTTGTCATACCAGCGGGAAACACATTCCTTCTGCGCCCAACATCTTTCAGGCTCGATAAGGAAACCTACCGTTTCCGGTCCTTGGCAAGCCAGACCTCCAACGCTGTCTTCCTCCTCATTACGCTCCAATTGCCTTAATTTAACCTGCATACGCATCAGATGATGTGGTCTGTTTATTTGAATTGGAGATCAACATACCACTTACGCACTTCCACCTCCACCTCCTCCCTGGGCCCAGGGACATTTGCACCACACGTAACTGCTCGCCTGAACGCACTTTCCAGGGCATGATTGCAAACAAGTGCTCATAGGGGCGACAGCTCCACACTCCACTATGACGGCCGCGGAAGTTGTTGTAATGAGTGTGAGGGCAGTGAGAAGTAGGGTTACCACGGGGACGTGCATTTTCGCTGATTGGCCTTGTTCGCGCAGGAGGCTTTCAGATGGTGGTTCAGTGGGTAAGGGATGATGAGCAGTGTGGGAATGAGGAAGGAAAGAAGATCTTCAAGATGATAAAGGCTGAACGATGGGGAGTTGAAAAGGGCGTTCCTTACGCCGGCAAAATGTGCTGATATTGAGGCACGGGTTTCGAAAAGGCGTAGTATGCATGTTGGAGGCGTATGACACCGCATGATCGGGCGTTATAGTACGTAACCTCAATACTGTTGGATGGCTTGATTAGAAAGGTTCCAGAGTGGTAGGAAGCACCGTGACGCCAAGGATAAGCTGACATATGCTGATGCGATGCCACAACAGCAGCCTGACAGGAAGGTTTCCTATTTGCAACGCTATGATCTGTGTCGTATTCTAAAAAAGGAATTCTTGAAGCTACATCAACTCGGAAGTTACCCATTTGTGTAGATTGAAGTGTGTATGCAGCAAGCACCTCTACCGGCGTTCAGGACTTCTTGAAGTGACGGTGTATCAAGCCGCACAAACTCTCCCACAACACCTGGTCCGTGCCTCTCAGCCACTCAACAACAACTTCCCGCGCCAGGTCTACAACCCGAATACGAAAGGCTAGCTCAATCTTTCGTGCAGAATTCTCCTTCATATCGACGAGTCCTTCCTTCTGTTTACGTTCATATGCGCGGCGATAGGAGCGGCTCCATACGTTTTGACTGGCTTCTCCGATACCGGTAGATGTAAGAGGATCCCAGGTCCAGGTTAGGTCAAGCGATTCGAGTTGGGTGTTGATAGCATCTTTGGCAGCCTGAGGTTCGACTGCAGGTGGCAGGGCGATGGGATAGGATGTTGGGAACGGGAGGTACTCGTTGGCCATTCGCTCTATACGCGCGTGGCTGTTTCTCGGTCTGAGGTCGCCGAAGCTCCACGCAACGATCCATCGCTTGGTGCTTGATCCAGCCTCTATAGTACCAACCGCCCAATTGGTGATGCCGTGCTTCTTCAGAAGATTGATGATAGCCTTGGCGCTGTCCATCTTGCCCAACATGCTGGTATACCACTGTACCTTGTCCTTCAAAACAAGACTCTCATTGACCATCTTCGTGACGAAGCCTAGATCGCCACCGAGACAGACCATTTCGTTTTCTGAGCCAGTACATACGGCGTTGGGTTTCCAGCTCTTTCCTTCACCCTTCAAGCTAGACTGCATGTCGGACACGTCGGTGAAGAAGGGTGGGTTGCAGATGGTGAAGTCAAGACGGTCTACACCAAGGGCTGCCAGTGGTATCACTGGGTTCAACTCGGTGGTTTGGAGTAGCTTGGTACGTGTCATGAAGTTGTTGAGCGCGAGGTTGCGAGCTGCTGAGTCGAAGCTCTTCTTGTCGATATCCGTAGCGCACATTGACCAACTCGGACGTGATCTCAGACACAACAAAGTGTATATGGCGGAAGCCCCGGTACCAATGTCCAGGCCTTGAACTTGACGGTTTGGATCGTACTTGCTAGAATAGTGTGGTGATGTCGAGTCAATCAGGCCTTGCAGCCAGGCTACGTAGTTCCAGCGATTGGGAATTGGCGGGCACAGGCGATCACATGGCACGTCTAGTTGGAGGCCAAAGTCGAATTTCAAGATAGCCTTTGATAGGGTCTGGGCAGTCTCGGGGTCTTGAAAATCCAATTTGCCAGACGTTCGCTGCCATAGTTGTTTGAATTCCTTGTCGCTCTTGGTGAGGGCCTTGAAATCGACGGTGTCGTAAGGTGGTCGCTGCGCAAGATCCATCGTGTTCTCTGACGCCGACATCTAGGTGATCGAGCGCAGAAATCGTAGCGTTGCTGTAATGTGATCTGTAAGATGTGGTGAGGGAGGCATTCAACAGGCAAGTGCCGGGAAGTTGACGCTTGGGCCAGCTCATGCTGATTGGCTGACAGGACCGGAGGAGATGGGACGAGGAAGGAGCCACTGCACCTTGGACCAGCTGAAAGCTCGACAGGTGCGCTGCCGCATGTATTAGTATAGAAAGAAAGTTTACGAGATCTCGAGGTAATGGAAACGTCTAGAAGGTAGACGCGAGCATAGGAGAGTGTACAATTGATATACAAGAATTTGATAGCGTCGCCGCAACTCCCGCTCATACCTACTGTATGCTGTCTACCCAACGCCGGTTCCATATGCAATCAGATCAAGAAAGGCCCGTCGTACGCTCCGTCAGCTTCCTGCAGTCGTACTTCTTCGAGCGTCGGCACGGTTCCGGGTCTGTAGAAACCGAGGAGCATCTCCATGTCCTCCTCGGTCATGGCGCAGAGGTCGTCGAGCGAGTATTGTTCGCACACCTTGGACATCCTGCATTGGCTGAGTCAGCGGGCGGCTTCAGGGTGCGATGTCGGGAACATACCATTGCATCCGCTTTGGACCCTCCTCAATATTGGGCGCAACCTTTCGCAGCTTCCTCCGCAGCATGCCGACTCTTTGGACGGCGTTGCCGATGTTGTATGGTAGGCCAGCTGCTATCTGCCTCCTGACGATGTTGGCCAGCTTGGGGCCATTGCCGTTTGTGCTGACCATGATCTGGAGCGGCCCATCGCGGTGCACGCTGCCAAAGTAGAAGTCGCACTCGGGCGGGACGTCGGCGATGTTGGCTGCTATCCGCCTCTCCTTGCATAGCTTGTAGATCTGCGACGAGGCCTCGGGATCGTCGACGGCGGTCAGGACCATGTCGACGCCATCGAGGTCTTGGGGCTCAAACTTGCGATCGATGTAGTCGACCTGGCCCTGTTCTATCCGGTAGGCGACTTCTTCGTTGAGGCCGTCGCGCGGGGAGACGAGGGTGATTTTGGCGTCGGCATTGAGCACGTTGACGATGCGACCAGCGGCGACCTAGACTTTTGTCAACTGTCAATACTTTGCATGGGGCCTGGGGGTGTAGACGTACCTCGCCGCCGCCGACGACCAGGACGCGCTTATTGCGGATCTGCCATGCGAGAATCAGAGAGCCGCCGCCCTGGATCTCGGGGTAGGGGCCTTTCATGGTGCGGAGAGTGTTGCGGAGATGGAGCATGCAGCGCGGAGATAGCCATGTCTCGATTCCGCGTCATTGCCAAGGCCGTGCTGAGGACGTCGGCCGGGCTTTGTGGGCTGTAGAGTTTTCTTATCGCATGCACTTCGCAATCACGCAATAATGGTTCCCTCGCTGCCACTAGCCATGTCTCCCTGGACGGTGCGACTGCGGGACGGGGACGCGTTTCCAAGATGCCGGCATGTGGTCCTGCAGCGCATCCCTAGCGGCCCTTGCAACGGCGCGCCCAAGACCCACGCCCTAGCCTACCCATGCCGGCCCATGTACCTTCACGACTCCAGCAGACACTCCCGAATATGACCTCGCGCAGGTCTCTGGGCGGCGGCCGCGTCCTCGGCAGCGGGAGGAACCTGTCGCCCGCCGCTGCACCTCCGCAGCCTGCAGCCGCCCACCGCCGCAACGCGAGCCTGCTCTCGCCCTCTGAGAGCTCCGTCTCGCTCAACTCGCAGGCCTCCAACAGCCCCGCCAGCACCGCAGAGACGCGCGAGGATATCGGCAGCAAGGTCCTGGTGGGCCCGAGCGAGAATGCCGCGGCGAGTGCGTCGAGCAGACTCGTGTGCCCGATATGCAATGAGGAAATGGTGGGTTCATAGCACCTGCTGCACCAAGAACAGTCGTCTGACGTAGCAGGTAACATTACTACAACTGAACAGGTAGCGCCGCCTCATATCCGCCCAGTATGTTAGCCCTGACCAGTAGTAGACATCTCGACGACAACCACCAGAACCTGGTCGTGGAGGAGCAGGATGAGGTCAAGAACTGGTTCGAGGCCCAGATGCACAAGGCCAAGAAGTTCCAGCCGCTCGCCGTGCTCAACCAGAAGCTGAAGGGACTCGACGTCTTCGAATCCAACGATGTCCCGTCGCCACCCCAGATCTCCCACTCCGCGAGCAGTTCGACCGCCCACGTTCCCCACGAACCCGCACCCGTCCGCCGAGACCCCGAGGAGGAAGTCACGCGATCACATTGGCAGAGGCCTGGCTACCGCGATGTCTGCTCAGACCCCATGTGCGCGAGGCCCGTCACAGCATCACAAATGGCGTTAGGCGGGAGTCAGCCTGCAGTCAACTGCAGACAGTGTGGCAGGCTGTTCTGCGAGGAACACACCATGTACCAGATGAAGCTCTCGCGGCAGGCTAAACACGACCCTGTCCGAGGCGTTTGGTGTCGCGTGTGCGAGACATGCTACAAGTCGAGAGACGGGTACAACGATCACCACGGCTTCGAGCGCGACCACTTCGACGAATTCGCCAAGATCAGACGGAAACGGGTGGATAGAGAGCGAATGGAAGTCAGCCGGCTCGAGAAGCGTCTGACCAAGTTGACGCAGCTTCTCGCAAACCCGCCTCCGATAGAAGAAACGCAGACCGCAGGGAGTTGGTTCTCACTACCGGGTGTAAAGAACCAACGCAAGACTCTGGAGCAATCAATAATCACGTGGGAGGAAGACGCCAAAGTTCCCAACTGTCCCTTCTGTCAGCAGGAGTTCTCGACATACACATTCAGAAGATCACATTGTCGCATGTGCGGACGCGTCGTGTGCAGCGACCCCAAGACTGGCTGCTCCTCGGAGATAGGTCTCAATGTTGCTAGCACGCAGACGACTGAAAAAGATGCTGCGCAGATGAGTGTTGACGTGCGCATGTGCAAAGACTGCCAGCACACGTTGTTCGCTAGAGGCGACTTTGAGCGCGAGCTAGCCGACAAGCCAAAGGACCAGCGTGCATACGAGAACCTTGCGCAATTCGAACGTGGCATCCGATTACTCCTTCCACGATTCCACAAGCTCCTGCAGGCCTTGCAAGACCCAGACAAGTCACCCACGCCGCAGCAGTTGACTGACGCGACCAAGGTGCGCAAACGATTAATGGACGGCTTTGCACAGTTCGATGTAGCCGCAAAACGAATACGAGATCTCCCCACCGACTCGCCGACACAGCAGAAGCTACAAAGAGCAGTATATCAGCAAGCTTACAGCTTCTTGAGCTTACACATGCTACCGCTCAGAGCGTTACCAAAGATCCTCAAGCATGCAGCCCCGCAAGGTCGAACGAATGGAGGTAGTGCTCTCGCGTCCATTAAGTACAACGACCGCTCCACTGGCAGTGTCGTAAGCAGCAGCGAGGTCTCCGCAATGGAATCAGAAGAGAAAGAACTCAAAGAGCGGTTGATCGTACTTGAGGAACAGAAGTTCATAGTATCTGAAATGGTCGCTGATGCCACCAAACACCGAAGATTCGACGAAGTATCCAGTTTGGCGCAGAATGTGGAAGACCTGAACAAAGAGATTGACCAGATTAATGGCCAACTGGGACAACTAGACTTTGCCAGTGCTTACCAGGGTGGCATGGCTAGCCCACAACCTGGATGAACAGCTCCGAGGGAGTATCCTTCCGAACAATAACCAGTCCCGTTATAGGGCATGGTCACAATATCGATTTCTCAAAGCCCCCGCCACGGTCCGATCATCTTGACAACCGACAACGCAGGAGCCACCATGATGCACCTCACTGGGGCTAGAGTCTGTCATCGTCGCACACCAGAGATCGCGGCTAAAGCCTATACAACTGCCTACAAAGCCGCGCGTAGAGGCGCAAGCAAAGTACATGCGTAGGCAGCAGCGATGGGGTGTCTTCATACGAAAACGGTCCTTTGGGGAATTCAGGCAGGCAAGGTCGGGCCTATTGTGAGCACCACGTCTCACGCATCCATAGTAATACACGAAGTAGCATGTGAACAAGCAATTCATCACCAGTGCACTTATAACTTTACGAACAATCAACTAACATCGCGATATGGTAATCTCGATGTTGCAAATGCATCGATGATGGTGTTTTAATGTTGCACCACACCCAATCACCGCACCGCGCAATCCTTCCGCTCCGTCCGCCTACACCATCTCGCGCACGCATTGTCCACCACATTTATAATTACCCTCGACGTCACGACACCTCCAACGTCACAACCACCGTCATCCCCGTCGTCATCTTCTCTAGATGCCTAATCCAGTAACTCACAAGTCCACCATGGAACACGGTGCCAACTTTTCTCTGCATTGCCCCCGGCGCCGAACGTGCGCGTCCAATGCCTCGCTGCCAACTTTCGCCAGCACTGCTTTCGGCACGTCATTGCTCGATTGGGGTGTGCGGATCCGTGCGTTTTACTGCTTCCGGGTAAATCGGGTAAGGCAGGGGTTTGCATTGGGAATGGGATGGGGACGAGCTAGCACGGATGTAGAGGCGATGCGCGGGTATAGGATCAGGGGTGGGTAACGGTGCGAATTGTTATGGGGTGGGAATGTGGGTTGGGGATCGTAGGATGCGGATAGGCGGGTAGAGTGGTGGTTTCGTTGGTGGCGGTTGGGTTGTCCGAGTGGAAACCTACGAGAAAACTGGGGAAGGGCGCCTCACCATCACGACGTTTTGGTAAGATGATATTCCAGGTGCAAGTGTGAGTGGATGCTTCCTTGGATGTTGTGGTTTGGCGATGGCGGAACGCTCTTCTATTCCTCGACTCGCATCTGCATCTTTCGCTGATCCGTGTACCCGTCAGCGAACTCCAAGCGCAGCTCGCCTTGTTACGCACTTACCTTTCTCTATAAGTCATTTCTCATCCTATTCACTTCGACCCGTCTTTCTTATCACCAGACCTCCACCCAGCAAACTCCAAGAGATCCTTCATGACCTTTGGTTTCGTTGCAGCCGGACTTTCCTGTGCCTCTGCCAAACGCTCAGAAACGTCTTTGCCCTTCTCGAACCGTTTCTTCCTTCTAGCAAAGAAAGATTCGGATTTCAAGACCACTGGTGGAGGTATCGGTGTTGATGCCGAAGGAACAACAGCAACCGCAGAAACATTGCTTCCAGACCGTGAAAGCTGTACGTGACCCGGTACGATCGGATCAAAAGTAGGAAAAGGTTCCACATCCTCTTCCGCTGGTGTTTCTACAGCTACCCCCGAAACTCTTCGTTGTCGCCGTCCGTTCCTACTCCTCCCTCTCTCCTCTTCTTCGCTGAACTTCGCCTCCGCAGACGACGGCCTCGACTTCCTTCTCCGTATCTCGATCTCCCTAATATGGGAGCCAGGATGGACGGTAGCGTACGTGGCCTCCTCGATGGTAGCATGCGCGAGGTCGGACAAGGAGGAGAGAGACGACATGGTGGAGTAGACCGATTCATCTGGTGGGCTGAATTCATCGTCACCTGCACCCTGGGCGGTATGGTTGGGTGGTTGCTGGGTTCCCGGGGCCGTCGATGTTGAGGGTGCGCCATTGGGCGTGTCGTGCCGGGTGTAGTGGTGGGAAGAGGGGTCCTGCAGACTGACTCTTGCGTACTCTCGTAGAACAGAGTCTTCGTCTGATTGCAGCTCCAAGAGGAGCTCGCGACGCGAAAGACGGGGTCGGAGCGAAGACGCGTTGCCTCCTTCAAGATGATGTCCTAGCAAAGACTGCGAGGGCGATGGAGCGGCAGAGCGACGCATACGTCTTCCCCTTTCCTGGACTGATTGTTCATCATCTTGTCGAGCGATTTCGTATCGTTTGACTGGATTATCAGCACCATTACGACCCCTTCGCTCATGCATGCCCCTTCGTCCAGATGAGGTAATTGGTGATTGCGGCGGCGTCAAGTAGGCCTCATTATGACGCTCTACAAACCCGCTTCGCCTCTCTCTACGACCCACATCATCGATTGTCCTCGTACTATCACCCCGATCTACACCCCCAGCCAAACGAGTCGTCTCCGAAAGCCACGACTCTTCGGCTTCAAACCTCTTTTCATGCGCCAGCAACAACGCATATTTCATCAGCGACGCTGCGCGCCGTGGATCCGCATTCGTCAGCGAGACCGACACGTCGCGCGTATCTACGCGAAGCTTTGAAGCCCCAGTAGCCGTCTTCTTGGACTGGCTCACAGCCTTGCCATCCAGCGAGGCAAGAGAGCTTCTCCGGCTGGGGATCTGAGGGGCTTTCAAGAAGCCCGAAGACAGCGTCTTCTTGAGTCTGTGCTCAGATTCCTGCACGTCGACTTGAAGCCTCTCCCCTTCGATGCGTTGGCGATCGCGGTGAGCTTGTCTATAAGCCTCTTCTATTTCTTTGTCGTTGACCACCCCCTCTGGGTACTCCTCATTCGATGAATCGTGACGAGTGACAACCCTACTTTCGGGAATGAACCCACAGGCAAGCCACTCATCCTTCTCCCCAAGCTTCTCATCGACTTGTAGTACTGCTTTCAGCTCTTGAAGGCAAAACCACAATACCTCTTCGTCATTTGCGTTGTCGGACTCCTGTTTGTCTTTGTCAAACCATACTGGGAGACGGACGTCTTTGTCTACGGTCACCCATGCCGCTGTCAGCCCACTAGTGTGGATAGCCATTTCAGCGGCATCGAATGACCGCGGTTTTTGTCCCACTTTGTCGGTGTGAGGATATTTGCTCGAGGCAGTGGCTTTGCTCTCGTACAATGAGATAAAGCTTGATGCGACGTTTCGCTGGAAATGGGCTTCGATACTGGACTTGTTGAGGGCATCGTAGTTGAAGTCTCGTGATGAGCGTATTGCATGCCGGCTTGGTCGTTCGACGAAGATGTGGAGATGGGAGGGGAGGGATTGCCGCTTCTTGAGCAGGGCGGCAGGGTAGGAGCGGGGGTGTTCGAATGTTCTGTTTACTGTCAATTTCCATCTGATGTGCAATATAGTTTTGCTCTAGATCAATGGATGGCCATAATGTCTACCGTGTAGAAGATCGAATTTTGCTATTTCAAATATTGCGAATACCTCCGCGGTGCTCTATGTCTTCGATATAGACCCAAAAAAGTGCTATGTCTTCCGCAAAACTAAATTTGATGACTTACATAGACATGGTTGATGATCGGTAATGTGGCGATGCTATGACATTCACTCGGGTTAATGCAGGAGGTTGAGATAGTGGCCTTCGAGAAGCGACGTTGCAGATTTGCCTGCATTGCACACCATCGTCGTGTTTGGTAGCGAGATGCGCTCTTTCTGGTTTGATCTGAAAGAGTGGCCATACACGACACTGTGACGTGGGATTATGGGGCTCGAAGGGGGGCGACCTCGGAACATCACTTGCGACACGCCAGAATGGACATCGTGATATCTGGGATAGGAATTATTTCGAATTCATATAATGTGGCAAGGTTTAGTAATGAGAAGTATATTAGGAGATAGCAGTCATGGTCTTGGGTAGTAGGTTTACATCGACAGCTGTGAGAGATGAGCACTAGAATGGCTACGTCAGTACCTGATCTGAACCCTTCAGTAGTTCAACTTACATGCACTCTTCTTCCTGGCTTGCAGACTCTCTCGTCTCTGAGTCTACATTCTTGTCATTCGTCCACTCCAGTGCTTGTCGGTATTCATCTGCTCTGAGCTGCTGCATTCTCATGTTTTCGGTGATGGGAGAGTGCAAGGTGGTGTTCATCTCGTACGAAGCCCAGTCAATATTGCTGACCTTCTTCGAAGAGTTGACACTAAGCCCAGCAGGGTACGAATTGAAACCACCGCCGCTGCTCACCCACACTCGAAGTAATGCGGAGCAAAAGATCTCCGCGATCTCTACTTGTTCCCGCCGGTCGATGAGATAGACAATATACTGGTGCATTTTGAAGTGTTGTTCAAACATGCCGATGTTGTGCAGGTGGGTGGATATGTCCTCGACTAGGTTCATTATGTAGTTGGATGACTTCCGTTGGCGGTGCTCTTTCAGACGATTTTCTGAGTGTTCAGAATATCCACACTCCCCAAGAGGATATCGGAGGGGTGTATCGCGTAGTGATGCTGGCGTCTCCTGCCAACGTTTCTGGGTACCTTGACAGAAAAGTTCGAGGGTACCGACACGCTTCTTTGATCGACTGGAATGCGTCGTGTAGAGATACTTGCGGTGGCCTTTGGCAGAGCTTTGTTGGTTAATCAGCGGTCTTCCCGGGGAGACGTTGTCTATCTGCCAGAACTGCTCGGAAGCTTTGCCTTCTGCCAAGTCATCGGCTATGTAGTCGGCTATCCAATTGCAGATGACAAGCATTTGATTAGGAGTAGGCGGGATACCATTCAGGTCTGCGAACTGGTGTATGTATATAGACGGCTGCTTCGCTGCATTCTTGCAGATGATGTCGTATTCTCGCTTCAAATCAGTATCAGTCCGCATGCGGCGCACCAAGTCGCCGTCGACTGCCGCTAGCAGCATAGGCGGTTCTGAAGCGAGTATTCGTGCGCATTCTCGTATATACTTCACACGGTCTGTTGCACTGATGGTAGTGCCATTTTTGTACTTAGGTATCTCTTCGTTGAGTACCTCAGAGATGACGGGCTCGTAGTGTTTCGAAAGGAGAAGATGCGCTTGCCTTGCTCGCCGATTATCGAGTGACTCTGTTGCTGGCCCCATTCCGCCTTGCTCCTGAGGGGCGTTGTCGTAGGTATAGTTTTTGTTTCTTGTGGTCACCATCGATGGGAAGTTTGATGTGATTCGTTGGGCAGGAAAGCGTGTGCGAAATAAGGAGCGATATAAAGATTGGCGCGCGTTGAGCATCTGTCGTGAGAAATAGTTAAGGATCGGGTATGCACCAAGAGTGGCATGCTGGTCGCTGAGTTTTGCTGTTTTACAGGTTTCACGTCTTGAGATTGAAGTTGACATAGCTTCAAGTGCACCTTCCATGCCTCGTGTCAATACCGAAGGACGGCATTTCCGACCTGCAGAGTTGACGATGCTTTGGAAGGGGCGAAATTGCATGTTGAAGCTGGAAACACTATCGGAGATGAAGTTAGTCGTACACGAATCGAATACATAGTTACCACTAGAGTATGTTTATGTCAATCCTGGACAACATGTTGCCGGATTCGTGTCCAAGCTCTGAATCTGCTTTGTGTTGTTTCCGGGGTCTGGTTTCGCAGTGCATTCCATGTCTCAACCATTCAAGGCTGTGGCGTAACTGCAATTGTGTCATTACGAGACAAGCATAGTACGTCCGTCGTGCTTTTGACATCCTTGACTGCCAGATGGTTGACAAGACTGATTGTAAAGACGGTGTCGTGAAGGTGTCAGGTTCCTGATGCACGCCAAATAAAGCGTGTGCGGTCGCCGACAGCCATGTAGACTAGAGATTCGGTCGAAGCGCATCCGATCACAATCCGGGAATCAGTGGTCCAGCGTGTGTGATGGAAGGGCAGCAGGCGGTAGAAGTTGAGATGCCGTGTTAGTGTGGCGTCAGGGGTGTGGCTGGTGTAGCGCGTTTGAGTCAATGCCCCTCCAAAGTTATTGATAGAGCCCCTCACGCAGCACACGAGCTCCGCAACATCGACACTTTCCTGGTAAGTCACGAACTCGACGCGTCTTCTTTCTGCTGTCAAGTCACGTGTACATTCTGCACGACGCACCCTCGATAATACGTGTACTGAAGTCGCGTAGACATGACGGACCCTACAGCTCCCGCCCCACCGGCCGCCGAGGAGGAGAAGGGCCCTTCGAAGCGTGCGCTTGAGAAGGCCGCGAAGAAAGCAGCAGCAAAGGCCAAGAAGGCCGAGCATGCCCTCCGACCCAAAGAGCAGGCCAAACCCAGCACCAAGAGCGAGCCGACGAGCATCTTCTCTGAGGGCTGGCTGAAGCGCATCTACGAAGAGAAGCCCGTGTCAGAAGTCAGAACCCGATTCCCTCCCGAACCAAACGGCTTCCTCCACATCGGTCACGCCAAGGCCATCGCCGTCGACTTTGGCTTCGCAAAGCATCACAATGGCAAGTGCTACCTGCGATACGACGACACCAACCCGGAGAAGGAGGACGAGATCTACTTCACGGCCATCCTGGATATCGTCAAGTGGCTAGGCTTCGAGCCGTGGAAGATCACATACAGCAGCGACAACTTTGACAAGCTGTACGAGCTTGCAGAGCAGCTTATCAAGAAGGACGGCGCCTATGTGTGCCATTGCTCACGTAAGTCTGCATAGCTATCGTCATATGCCAGGTACTGACTCTGGCGCAGGCGAGGAGATCAACAACCAGCGCGGAGGACCCGACAACAGAGGCAAACGCTATGGCTGCGCACACCGCACACGGCCGATCGAAGAGTCCCTCACCGAATTCCGGGCGATGCGCGATGGCAAATACCAGGCTGGAGAGGCTTTCTTGCGCATGAAGCAGAAGTTGACGGACCCGGATGAGGGCAACCCGCAGATGTGGGACCTGCCCGCCTACCGCGTTGTCAAGGAGAACCACCACCACCGAACTGGCGACAAGTGGAGAATCTACCCTACCTACGACTTCACCCACTGCATTTGCGATGCTCTCGAAGGAATTAGCCATTCGTTGTGTACAGTCGAGTTCCGCCAGTCGCGTATCTCTTACGACTGGTTGCTGGAGCAGCTGGACATGAAAGTGCCCAAGTCGGAGGAGAAGGGACCAATGCAGCGAGAGTAAGCGACGGCTTCTCACCTAGAAATCGCCCATATTAACGTTGCGCAGATTCGGACGCCTAAGCGTTGGCGGCACGATCCTCTCGAAGCGACGCATTCTCCAGCTCGTCGAAGGCACAACTGTCGAAAAGAAGAACGCGGATGGCACAGTCGAGACCAAAAAGATACCCGGCGTAGTACGAGGATGGGACGACCCCCGACTCTTCACCATGGTTGCGCTGCGCCGTCGCGGCATCCCAGCCAAGGCCATGCTCAACTTCGTGGACGAGCTCGGCGTCACGGATGCGCTTTCGGAGATCGAGCCTCCACGTTTCGAAGCTTCAATCCGCAAACACCTCGAGCGAACCGTGCCACGCCAGATGATGGTGCTCGACCCTATCAAAGTAGTCATCGAAGACTTCGCGACCGAAGACGAACAAGAAATAACAGTCCCTTACGACCCCAAGGGCACCATACCTGGTGAGCGCAAGGTGAAGATTGGTAGCGCCGTCTACATAGACCGCAGCGACTTCAGAGAGGAAGACAGCGCCGACTACTTCCGTCTGGCGCCAAACAAGGCCGTTGGTCTATACAACCTCCCCTTCGCGATCCGTGCGACATCCTTCTCTAAGGATGAAAATGGCAACGTGTCTGAGATCAAAGCTGTCAAGGTGCCAGGTACCGAGAAGCCCAAAGCCTACATTCAATGGGTGGACGTCGCAACAGCCGTTCCCGTCACAGCACGTCTGTACAACTCGCTCTTCAAGACTGAGTCGCCCAACACACTGGACTGGAAGACGGGCAGCTGGGCTGATGATCTCAACCCCAACTCCGAAATCATACATGATAAGGCAGTCATCGAGCGGGGTATCAAGGACCTCATCAGCGAGACTTCACTGGATCTGAGCGGATCTTCGGACGCTCTTGTGCGCTTCCAGGCGCTGCGCACTGCTTACTTCTGTGTCGATATTGATTCCACAGAGGACAAGATTGTACTTAACCAGATCGTCAGTCTGAGAGAGGACAAGGGCAAATAGATATGGAAATGACTCTCGGGTAGGCTGTTGGCGTTGAAGGTGTGGCATTCAACTCGGGGTTGTAGAGGTGTTGTGTATGTAGAGTAGAGATATCCCCGAAATGCAGCAGTCATGATTCTCGACGCGCTGTAGGGCTGCATGAATCATCCGCCCATGCGCGTCGCTACCAGGATACGAGTTTTGGCCCCCCGCGCTTCCCTCCCAATCGCCTCAAACATCGGCGGAAAGCCCGAGGCTTATCGCATACGAGGCGCACGTCTTGTGTTGCTGTTGTCCAATGGCACGGTGCCTCGCATTTCGACCCCGCTGCCGTAATCAGCATAGGTCTTATATAAGCCAACCAACATGAATCGTTATGGCCTCGATACTACTTACGCGAGCTGATCTCCGGGCATAGGTCGCTGCTTCGGCCGATGAGGTGGCTTATGGTTGCACATGACGAGATGTGGTAGTTGGAGGCCGAAGTATCACATCACATACCTAGGTATACAGGAGATATCTCAAACGCCCAGCCACAGTCTCTTGATTCCGACCCAAGATATCATCCTATAATTGCGTAGCCAAGCACTACACCTCTAAGCCTGAAGTACAGACGTACCCCTCACATCAGATCTACCGACAAGGCTCACGAAAATCATGGGGCGCGAGTACGAATTCTTTGTGACGACGGATAAGCCAAATAACCCAGCTGGTGCGGAACGATGCATGATCCGGCGACTGGTGATGCGCAATCACTTCGATATGAAGATGGCTGGACCACAGATCAACCCACCTCAACACTCTTCGATCAGCACGGCCATGGCGAAGAAGAAGTTAAAGAGTCGGTTCCGAATATCCGAACCTCAGATCAAGAAAGAGAAGTCCAAGAGCAGAGAGAGGGAAGATGCACGGAGAGCGAGAGAGAAGGGCGCAGCAAGGCCGAAAGATCTGAAAGATAGGTCGGGACCAACAACATCTTCGAAATCTGGGCAAGATGGCAAAGACAAGAGAAAAACCCCGGATGAAACACTGACAGCAAGGCTAGTGCTGAAGTGCGGCCTGGATGATGATCGGATGGATCCTTTTAAGGCTTCACCCATACCTGGAACTCCAGAGCTGGGTGCGCTATTCCAACTGTGTACGTAGAGTCGATACACGTTGTCCAACTATGAGGGCGAATTTTGAAGCCAAGGGCCCCATCAGCTGACACTAAAGACAGACAGGAGTGCACCCAAGAGCAATGCAGTCGCCATCGATGCCCAGCACACGTGGAAGTCACTCATCTTGAGTGATGCCGGCTTGCTGCACGCAACTCTGGCAAGCTGGGCACTATACGGTATGCTGGCCAATGAACTCACTGACTTGAGAGTGTGCAAACTGCATCACAAGAATAAGGCGATCAAGGCCGTCAACTACAGACTTGCAACGTCTGAGGGGTACATATCTGATGAGATCGTTGGCACTGTGTTGGCTTTGGCAAATCTCGAGGTATGAACACATCTTCCCGTGAGATGATCCATGCTAACTGTTCCAGAATCTTCTTGGAGACTATGAAGCGGCTCAACTTCACGTCACAGCGCTGAAGCGTATGGTGAAAGTGCGAGGTGGGCTGTTTGCCTTTGGACACAATGATGGCTTGCTGCGTGGCATCATATGGTGAGCTCAATGCCACCCATCGCGCAATTTCATCGCTAAACTATTTGACAGGATGGATTTTCACACTGCAGCAGTTTCTCGCGCGCAGCCGTCTTTCCCACATATCAGTCTGGACCCGGATACGCCTCCTTTGCCGGACGAGCTCAGAGAAGAAGCGGCACAAACGTCGCCCACGTCACTGCTCCACCTTTCTTGCAGCGCCGTCGATTGCTTCAACATATTCTATCGAGTCCATCGACTCGCGCTAGCAGTATCGTCGCACTGGATCGGTCGTGTCGAGCGCCTCACTCTCAGCAATTTTCTCTACGAAACGCAGTTCACGATCCTCTCAGTACCTGATCACTCACACAACTTCTTGCATTTTGACCAGAGCATCCATGATCAACAAGGCGACTGCTACGATCACCTCAAGACTAGAGCGGATGCAGCGAGTGTGGTTGAGGCCCTACTTGCAGCCGCCCTCATCTTCGTGTACGCAGTACTTCGTGCACTACCACTGAACACGAAGATCTTCGCTATTCTTCTTTCTCGGTTACGTACCGCTTTAGATCGACCAGATGCGCCGATGCTGGAGATATGGAGACGAGAGAAGAATCTGAACATGTTGCTTTGGGTTCTCGTCGTTGCGTGTTGTGTTGCCACGGGCGAGGAGCGCATGTGGTGGATCGCGCAGCTATCAAAGCTGTGTGGCGTGATGCATGTTAGAAGTACACATCATCTTGGGCATGGAATGCGGCATGTCGCATGGACGGATACCTTTTTCGAAGATCGGATGGATGCTATCTGGGCAGAGGTGATGCGGCTGCGAGGTCCGGCGCTTTGCAGGGGGTCGCTGGCGGGGTTTCCTGCGACCGCTGTGGAGCATTCATTGTTCGATAGGTGATGTAGAACAAAGAGAGTGGAGCCGTCGCAGGTGAGAATAGAATGTTGAGATGAAGGAGTTCAGCAGACGGACCAATCATGCGGACGCTAATCCGCTTTCATTCCATGTTCGTGAATGTTCTGCCACGTGCATCGGGCAAAGTAGCGCCGACGGCGGCGGGCGCGAAGGCAAAGGGTCTCAATAATCTTCGAGGACTGACGTTCGTCTGGACACGACAACCACAACCATGGCCCCGCTTGTCGACAACCCCCAGATCAAGCAGGCCAGCCTGCACAACCCGCTGCCGCTGCAGCTGCACACGTACATCTGGCCCTTTTTGATAGTGTGGCCCGCCTTCTCCGCCATATACTTTTCGCCGCAGCGCTACGAGCAGTACATCCAGTCGTCGGAATGGACCTTTGTCTGGGTCGCCAGCATCACCACCTTCCAGTCGCTCTTCTGGCTGATGACGCACTGGAACGTCAACCTCAAGAGCGCCTTCACCACCACCTCGGCCAGCGACGTGCGCTCGGCATCGCTTATCAAAGTGCAGCCCGTCAAGAACGCGGGTGCCGCTGAGATTGTGCCATTGGTGCGCGACAACGTGGGCGGAAAGTCGAACCTCTCCTTCCTCTTCCAGAAGCGCCGTTTCCTCTACGACGCCGATAAAGGCTCCTTCGCCCCGCTGTCCTACCCGCTCGACATCGAACCCAAGCCCCAGCTCAAGACGTTCCAGCAGACCCAGGGCCTCACCTCGCCCGCCGAGATCGAGCGCCTCACCCAGCACTACGGCGACAATGCGTTCGACATTCCCGTCCCGACTTTCACCGAGCTGTTCAAGGAACACGCCGTCGCGCCCTTCTTCGTCTTCCAGATCTTCTGCGTTGGACTGTGGATGCTGGACGAATACTGGTACTACTCGCTGTTCACGCTGTTTATGCTGGTCGCTTTCGAGAGCACCGTCGTGTGGCAGAGACAGAGGACCCTGAATGAGTTCCGCGGCATGAGCATCAAGCCCTACGAGATTCTGGTGTACAGGCAGAAGAAGTGGCAGGAGATCATGAGCGACAAGCTGCTACCCGGCGATGTCGTCAGCGCAGGCCGGACCAAGGAAGACTCTGGTGTGGCATGCGACATGCTCCTCCTCGAGGGCTCCGCGATTGTCAACGAGGCTATGCTTTCCGGAGAGAGCACACCGGTGCTCAAGGAATCCGTACAACTGCGACCTGGCGATGCGCGCATCGAGCCTGAGGGTCTGGACAAAAACTCGTTCCTCTGGGGCGGCACCAAGGTGCTGCAGGTCTCGCACGGTAGCGACGCTGAGGAGGATGGCGGCAACGTCACTAGGCTTTCGTCCGGTGTCCCACCGCCGCCGGACAAGGGCGCTGTTGCCGTAGTCATCAAGACTGGCTTCGAGACTAACCAGGGCAGCCTCGTCAGGACCATGATCTTCGCTACCGAGCGCGTCTCCGCCAATAACGTCGAGGCCCTCTTCTTCATTCTCTTCCTTACCGTCTTCGCCGTCGCTGCCTCTTGGTACGTCTGGCAGGAGGGTGTCAGGCTCGACCGCCAGCGTAACAAGCTGCTACTCGACTGCGTCCTCATCGTCACCAGCGTCGTCCCTCCCGAGCTTCCCATGGAGCTCAGCTTGGCCGTCAACACTTCCCTCGCTGCTCTGAGCAAGTACGCCATCTTCTGTACCGAGCCCTTCCGCATTCCCTTCGCTGGGCAGGTCGACGTTGCCTGCTTCGATAAGACCGGTACTTTGACTGGTGAAGACTTGGTCGTGGACGGCATTGCTGGACTATCATTGGGACAAGATGGAGCTACAGTTGCAGCGGACGGCGCGCACACCGATCTCGCAAAGGTTACGGACGTCGCTACTGAGACAACGCTGGTGCTTGCCGCCGCTCACGCCTTGGTCAAACTCGACGATGGTGAGACTGTTGGAGAGCCTATGGAGAAGGCAACCCTCCAGTCTCTCGGCTGGAAACTCGGAGCGAAGGATACACTCCAAGCCACCATGACTACCCCCAAATCCCAAGCCGAACTCGTACACATCCGCCGCCGCTTCCAATTCTCGTCCGCTCTGAAACGCCAGAGCTCTGTCGCTACCGTCATCGTCAACAACACCAAGACTGGCCGCAAGGTCAAGAGCACAATCGCTGCAGTCAAGGGCGCGCCCGAGACTATTCGCAAGATGTTGGTCAACACCCCGCCAAACTACGAGGAGACGTTCAAGCACTTCACCCGCAATGGTGGTCGCGTCCTCGCTCTCGCATACAAGTTCATCTCCGAAGAGGGAGAGTGGGGCCAGAACCGCATCAACGACCTCAAGCGTGAGCAAGTCGAGTCTGACTTGCACTTTGCCGGTTTCCTCGTCCTCCAATGCCCTCTCAAGCCTGACGCTGTCGAGGCTGTCCGTTCCCTCAACGAGTCTAGCCATCGTGTTGTCATGATTACTGGTGACAACCCGTTGACCGCTGTTCATGTCGCCAAGCAG